CACTTACTGGAGTGAAGGGAAGTGATTAAACGGTATCCATGCAATTCTTATAAACGGTATTGAAAGCTATCAGTCTGTTAGGAAGCCACTAATATCAGGGATAATTATTAATAAATTAACAATTGCAATTCCGCAGTTAACGATCCCAAACGCACATAACAAAAGAGGAAGTTCGCGACCGCGGCGAGGTCATCCGTGAAACTTAGCCCCCTCCTTTTATGGTATTTCCGTCATCGAACATTATACCGATTCGGTCCTCGCCTGGGCTACCAACAAGCTCACAGGCTCTTGGGTAACCGAGAAATACAATGAATAGTCGAATATCGGAACCTCATTCACGCATTCCGGCAGCTGGAGGCGTAGCAGCACGGCGATGGCAGCAGATCGATAAAAAGACAACGTCCATACCCCCTCCCCAAGAGATTCACTGCTTGTTCTGAATCGAGAAGGCAGCGCGATGCCATTATAGCATATTCCATAAAGCACCACCGAAACGATACCGAGAGTCAGAGCATCAGAGCTTAAGTCGAAAACTGGAATACATCCTCAGTGAGAGGGAAAGAGCACGAGCTGGTGAAAGAATTCACTGCGCGCCGCCGACTGGACATCGTTTTTTTCCGGTCAACGAATGGTGAAGGCTCTGGAATTCTGAACCTCTGCGGGTAGTACTATTTTACTCAGGTATTAACATCATGACACGCACTACAGCCAATGGCACAATTCAAACTAGATGAAAGAACTATACAATGGAAGCGTGTCGGCGGGAGAGTGGAAATCATCCGGCTGTAGTTGCACGAGGCTAAAGCTTTGACCACGACGAAGACCTTTGCGCCCAACTCGAAGGATGAATATAAAGCCTTCCGAACAAACTAGGGGCTATCACGTACGAAGTGCCGAATACAGAGTGCCTCAATCTCATGGGCGATTTTGATGCGCATATCGAAGTAGACGCTGAAAAGTGGAACGGCGTGATTAGGAAAAACAGACCTAGCGACCTCAACAATAACGTCATGAAGTTGTTGCGATTTTGTGCAAACAACGAATTGTCCATTATGAACACCTTCTCCGAGTATCGAAGGGTGCATCAGTACACCTGGTACAAGGAAACTTCGTATAAGTCAATGATAGATTTGATAATCATAAAATCTAACGATGGCCTACAATGGATGTTAACGTTAAGAGAGGCGCAAAGCTGTAACCGGACCATCACCCCATCGTTGGCATCTATACCGCGAGAAATGGAGTATCACACGACGATCTGGGGAAAGAGAATCAAATGGCAAATATTTTCTTCACACAATACGAGAGCGAAACGTGCAAACAACATTGCACGATGGCTTGAATAGATCCCAGTAATGACCTGTTTTTTTATTAATAACAATTCACAATAACAATAATGTTACAAATACATGGCGCATATTGATGAAAACAGTGACAAGACAAGCGCTAACATTTTATTAATGCAGAAAAGGCAGATTTCAACCTCAGCAAAATTTATAAAAAGCACAGCTTCGCAAGTCGCCTTTCAAACGCGTAAGTTTTCATCCAGGTACGCTTCTGTTGCAACGCTGATGGCACAGCATGAATGCTGAAACAATTTACTGCTCTTGCTCTTCCTCCGCACCATTATCAGTCGTCTGAGCTACATCGGCATAACTAGAGCGCAGAATTTCAGTCAGGCGCTTGTTCTTGTAACGCACGCTGTCTTCAAACTGGTCGTTGATGATCCGTTTGCCGGTGACTGGGTCAACTATGTAGCCATACTTGGTCACAACTTTCAGCAACTCGTGAGTGATCCTGGTGGTCATCGGTTCGTCCATTTTCCGGATAATCACCGTGTCACCCAAACTGAGAGACTGGTTGCCGACCGAAGCCCAGAAGTCAACCGACTTGCCGAAATACATTTTCAGGAATTCGTTGAACTCGTTGCGCTTTACTCGAACTTGAGCACAAGGGAACTTCTCGAAACCGACCGTTGCAAGTTTAACCACGTGACCGAGCAAAAGCCTGTCGTCCCAGAATCGCTTAATGTAAGAAGGCTTGACAACAGTTGTTGCCATGACTAGAAAAAAGCCTGTATGAGATCTCTGTCGAGACAGATGAAAGAAACGAAACATACATTGGACAAGAGGCGTCGCGTAGGACGTAGAAACAGGCGTTGGATACATCGGAAGGAGAGTTTTACAGGTTTTACTTGTAGTAGTACGGCAGGGTATTATAATAATGCTGCACGTTAACTGATGAAGCAGAAGTACAAGTACAGCAAACATGGTACATCATCGACACAGTAGAACACGGGATAATAAATAACAAGATAAAAACGTAGTAAAAGCAGTTCGGCTGACCGGCGCCATCATCGACATTCCCACACTTTCACCGTCAGGTCGACGCTACTTGTAACGACGTACGGAGCGCAAGGGTGAAAATCTAAATGGCATCGAAAATGCAGCAAGAGAAACAAACTTCAGAATTCATTTTAGTCTACAGTGCTAATGTGAGGTTTTCACCACGTTACTGTCTAAACCTCCGCTGACATGAAAGCCACGGCATAAAAGTAAACATGCAGGCAACAATGGCGGGAGCCAGGTACAGGGATAGGAATAGTAATATAAAACAGTAGCAACGCGGTAGTACGATTAGGACTGAACCAAAAATCAGACTCAGTCAATACCGGTGTGGACTAAATTACTACTCTGAAAGGTACAGATACACACATTTGTCTTTGTCTGAGCATCCGAGCCTTCATAAGTAAAGAATACGGCCTTAAAAACACGAGCAAATGTGAGGCTGACCCATTAACCACAGCGTCACAACTGTGCTTGTGTCTGCTGTCTTAACCTCGAGCATTGTGCATAAAGAGAATGACTCTAATTTGTTACGCTCCTGTATCACTAGCTTTTCAGAAATAATTCCTCACAGA